ATAAAGAGGGGTCAAAAACGGAGGGTTCCGGACTTGGTTTGTTGAAACGGCTAGTAGGGAGTTGTAAAGTGGATTATACTGATGCCGGAAATGTAAAAAAATTTTGGGTCTTCGGCTGTTTTGACGAATAATAGATTTTTTCAAATTTGTCATGTATAAATAAAGAGGGGTAAAAAACGGAGGGTTCCGGACTTGGTTTGGGGAAACGGCTAATAGGGAGTGATAAGGTAGATTATATTGATGCCAGAAATGTAAAAAAATTTTGGGTCGTCGGCTGTTTTGACGAATAATAGATTTTTCAAATTTGTCATGTAGGTATAAATAAAGAGGGGTCAAAAACGGAGGGTTCCGGACTTGGTTTGGGGAAACGGCTAGTAGGGAGTGATAAAGTGGATTATACTGATGCCAGAAATGTAAAAAAATTTTGGGTCTTCGGCTGTTTTGACGAATAATAGATTTTTTCAAATTCGTCATGTATAAATAAAGAGGGGTCAAAAACGGAGGGTTCCGGACTTGCTTTGGGGAAACGGCTAGTAGGGAGTGATAAGGTAGATTATATTGATGCCAGAAATGTAAAAAAATTTTGGGTCTTCGGCTGTTTTGACGAATAATAGATTTTTTCAAATTTGTCATGTATAAATAAAGAGGGGTCAAAAACGGAGGGTTCCGGACTTGGTTTGGGGAAACGGCTAATAGGGAGTGATAAGGTAGATTATATTGATGCCAGAAATGTAAAAAAATTTTGGGTCGTCGGCTGTTTTGACGAATAATAGATTTTTCAAATTTGTCATGTAGGTATAAATAAAGAGGGGTCAAAAGCGGAGGGTTCCGGACTTGGTTTGGGGAAACGGCTAGTAGGGAGTGATAAGGTAGATTATATTGATGCCAGAAATGTAAAAAAATTTTGGGTCTTCGGCTGTTTTGACGAATAATAGATTTTTTCAAATTTGTCATGTATAAATAAAGAGGGGTCAGAAACGGAGGGTTCCGGACTTGGTTTGGGGAAACGGCTGATATGGTGTGATTGACTAGATCATATACATGCGAGAAGTGTCCAAAACATTTTGGTCTTGGGCGGTTTTGAAAAGCTATAGATGATATTATAGCTTCTAAAATATTAGGTTTTAAAGGGGGGTCAATTTGCGGTATCTGTGAACGAGATAGCACGGATTTGAACTTAGCGTAAGTAAAATATGCTTTTTCTAATCAATTGACGTGAAAACCGCATTTCTCCAGGTTTATTTTAATGTAATATCAATTTTTTCGCGTTTCTCCTCACTTTGAGGAAGATTTTGGAGGAGGGAGATAAAACTCTTACAGTACATAGAAAGCCCGTAATACAATCGAACTACGTGAAAACCGCATCGATTTATGTTTATTTGGACCTAAATTACGTCAGTAGAAGTGGTAATGGCAAATTTTCGTCACTGCTGCCTTTTTACCGTTTCGATCAAAGCGTGATCGATCGGAACTTCAGCCGCATCATCAATCACCCCGCTTCAGAGGTAGTTCTTCTCGGTGATTTCAATGCCCATAATGATCTTTGGTTGGGCTCAAACAAGACCGATGGAGCAGGTCGTGCTGCCTGTTCTTCGATAACCGAAATTATCCACGTCGGAATGGAGGAATACATCCCTCACACAGTGAACGTGCCCAAACCAGGGTCCAACCAGAAACAAATATAACCAAGGTAGGTTCGCAATGCCAAAAACCAGCACGATATGAAAGTTAGGCACAGGGTAATGTCGCAGCGCAACGGCAGTCGGTCTTTCTGGACGCTGGCCAAGCAGATTGAAAAGAACTTCTCACACAGTAGCCTTCCACCACTTACATGTCACGATGGAACTATTGTACTCGACTCAAAGGCCAATGCGGAAGTGCTAGCCAAGATCTTTGTTGCCAACTCCACCATGGACGTTCCCCCCAACGCCCAAGTGCCGTCAATTCGAAGGGTTCCCTACACTATGCTGGAGGTAACATTCAGGCATAAGACCGTAAGACGAGTGCTCTTGTCTCTCGACATCAACAAAGCTTCTGGTCCGGACTTGATTTCTGCCATTGTACTGAAGAGGTGTGCAGCGGAGCTTGCTCCAGTTCTTTCGCGTCTCTTCCAGGTATCTTATGAATCCGGCACCTTCCCAGATAACTGGAAATTTGCTCATGTCCAACCCAGCCCAAACAAAACGGATCTGGACTACCTCGAAAGTCACAGCTTGATTAGCGACAGGCAGTATGGTTTCTGGCATCAACGATTCACAGGGGACCTCCTAGCCTACGTCACGCAATTGTGGAGTAAACTCATCCAGTCTTATAGTGAGGCTCATGTCGTTACTCTTGACATCACGAAAGCGTTCGATCAGCTGTGGCAGGCTGCCCTCTTAAGCAAACTTCCATCCTATGGCCTTCCAGAAAAGCTTTGCAGATGGGTGGCTGAATTTATCTCTGGCCGCAAGATATCCGTAGCAATTGACGGGTTCTCCTCTTGATCCGACAACGTCAACGTGGGTGATCCTCAGGGATCGGTCTTGGCTCCGACAGTGTTTCTCTTGCATATCAACGACCTCCTTTCCTGCACGATCAGCCCAATCCACAGCTTCGCTGATGACAGCACTCTAAATGCAGGAATTCAGAGTGACAAGCTGATCTCTACCGCAGAGCTGGAAAGAAGAAGACTAGCGACGACTTCCTCTCTGACAAGAGACCTGGAGGCTATCACTGCTTGGGGACGCAACAATCTTGTACAGTTCAATGCTTCCAAAACACATCTCCTCAATAGCAGCAGCTGCTGGGAAAAAGCTAGGATATTTGTTTAGGGCTAAGAAGTACTTTTCTCCGCATGATCTTCTCTCTCTATACAAGGCCCAGATAAGGCCTAGCCTCGAGTATTGCTCACACGTTTGGGGTGCTGCCGCCCCGACTACATTGTCCATGCCCGATGCTGTCCAGAGGAGGGCGGTCCGACTGGTCGATGGCTCTTCTCTAACAGACAGTCTCGGGACCCTTTGGCACCGGCGAGCCGTCGGCGATCTAGCTCTTTTCGACCGCTACACCAAAGGGCTTTGCTCCTCAGAGCTCTCTTCCATGATGCCGCCGCGCGATGTGCCTGCCAGGCAGACCCGCCTGACTTTTGCGTCCCATCCTAACCGTGTCGAACTTCGTACATCCAGAACTGGCCGATACGACTGCTCCTTTGTCCCGGGGGTGTCGAGATTGTGGAACAATCTACAAGAGGAAGCTTTTCCCAGTTCTACTAACCTTAGGCAGTTTAAAAATCGTATGAACAAAATTTCTTTGGGATCATCATAGCAGCCGCGGTGTTCCGGAGTTTAGGCTTCTGCCTGCGCGGCTGCTTCGATCTAGGACGTTGTTTTTGGAACCGCAACACTTTCATCCATCTTACTCTTAAAATTAACGTCTCCGGATTGAAGATACACCATAACCTCAATACTGCTAGACATCTGTAATAAAGGATCTGACAAAAAATGTAGTAAAAAGGAAATCAGCAAATAATTCGGATAAGGGCTGTAAAAAGCGAAGGTATATAGTCATAGACATACTTCAATGCCACTGAGCTTAATGTAGATATAGACTTTGGCTTGGATCGATAATTTTTTGTTTTGTAGCGAAACCTTCAATTCTTAGAAATTTTTATACTCAGTCTGAAAAACTTAATGGCATCATCCTAGCATGTATCGCTTCAGACCATGACGAAAAAGCTAACCAGCGACCACTGAATGTGAAATTCTAGAACGTGATGAACTGCAATTCTATTCACAAGCTCTTAGCCTAATTTTACGTAGGCTACCTGATCGCAGGCGATCTGTCAGGCAACGAGAGCTTTTCAGTATTCGATGAATTAATTGAAGGTAATTTATCTTTGTTTGCTGGGAGGATGCTGTTGCAGATTATTTCGTTATTGCAAAAGCTATAAATTACTTATGGATGTAGGAGGAGGCAATTAATTTTTTCGTTAATCGTACGTTCACATACATAAACATTATGTATAGTGGGTTAGTGGGACTCCGTCGAATGCAATCAGAAAAAGCTGCTGATTAGTTGGGGATTTAATACGTTTCGTCTTGAAATCAAGTCCAGGTTCAACAAAAGTTAGTCCTCTCTTTACTCAAAAAGTAGATATTAGGACATTTGTTTGATTTCTTCTTCGGGGCTAACAAAATGTGAAAAACAGATATCTATATAAAATACAAGGTGCGGCAGCAAAACTTTTTTTTAAGCGCTAGTGGTCTCGTTCGAGAGGCGGGACAGTTTTGTCCCAACACACTTCAGTCGCCATCATACGTTGAGGCCTACTTTTCGAGCGGACGTTCTGGGATCGCTGTTGTCCCGGACCGGGAGTCACTTGTTACGTTCAGACAAATTGCAAGTGCGACATGACGAAGAACTAAAGTCCCTGCGCCCTCAAAACGTTGGAACATTGGGAGCTTCAATGTTGCGATTACCACGGCGTTCTGGGATCAGACATACGTCTGCTCTTGGATTTTCCGGACGTTCTGTAAGGAGAACTCTTCATAATTCTTCTGAACGTGACTCCAGTTCTCAGATGAACGCGTGTGAGCGCCTCCTCGAAGTCGCACGTGAGGATGCTATTGTCTTTTTTTTATAATGAAGCCCATTTTTATTTACGTGGAACCATCAATAAACAAAACATGCGCTACTGGGCTGACATCAATCCTCGAGAATTGCATCAGATTCCTTTGCATCCACCTAGGGTCACAGTGTGGTGAGCAAATTCCTTAGCTGGAATTATTGGCCTCTGGTTCTTTTAGGAAAATAAAGTCACAGTGATAGTGAATTTGGTCCGGTATGTAAACATATTACAAGTTTTTTTTTTCGCGGCTAGAGATGACTTGGACTTAATCTGTTTGAACGATCTTTTTACGTAAGGTACCTTGAGTTACTTAAAGTTTGGGTTATTCTGGTCGTGATGAGATTGATTACATATCCCTTCTCTTGCATTTATATGTGGTTTTCTGTTTCAGACGACTCTGCAACCTACAATTGTAGAACCAAGGATGGCTCAGCTCGAGACATTAGAGGCTAAGGTAAGGAAACTTTTTCAACAAAAGATACAGGGATACACTTTCGCATTTCAAAATGCTCCCTTAACTCAGCTTAGGAAATTCAAATGATTTGGTACTTCATTCATCTTCTAAAATCGGTTCGAGACAAACCTGTATGCTACATAAGTTTTTTAAATAGTTATTGTTTTCAAAATTAGTTTATATTCGGTTGTAAATTTTAAGTGACACTTGTATCTGTGATGAAATTAAGAAAATAATAGAATAGAGTATTAATTCATGAAGTTTCATATACTTGTGCTATTTGAGTAACTTGGTGGATCTTATAAGTATCGAAAAGCTATTTTCATCGAGGTTTAAGAACAATCATGATGCAAAAGACGAATTACTTTACAACAATTAAGCAGAGACTATTGCGAGAATCTAATATGCTCCTAGATACGCAGACTAAAGATGCAATCTGAAGCTAGATCCTGCTCTTATTATCCAACAAATGGTTACACGGATATTGAATTGCGTTCCCCTTGAGGCTCAAACGGGGAATATAAGGGGTTTATTCACAGATGTAAATTGAACAGCATTTTGAATTCACTGTCTTGATCTTAATGGATCCATAAAAAATATGCACTATTTTTAGTCTTATGAGTCAAATGCTGTCGTGTTATACGCTTTCTAAATTGAAGCCGCCGCAATTGCGATAAGTAGCTTGGAGACACACTACTAACTCGAATATTGAACTGCCTAAGATTTGTAGAACTGGTCCGGGGATGTAAAAAGTTTGACACCGTTGGGATGAGAGGCCGGAGTTTGGCGGGTCAGTCTAGCAGGTTCGTCGCGTGACCGCATCATGGAGGAGAGCTTTGAGATGCAAAGCTTGTCAACATAGCTGTATTAAAGACACAGATCGCCGAAGGCACATGGGTGCCGAAGTGTCCCGAGACCGCCCGTAAGAGAAGTGCCACCAATCAATCGAGTACGGACAATGTAGTCGGGGCGGCACACAGTGGGAAATGGGCAGAATTAATTCAAATTCTCAAAAATCTTTGAGATGCATATTAACTTTCGTCAAAAGGGTTCCTTTTTGAATAACATTACGAGAAAAAAAAATCAGAATATTTTTTTCGAGCAGATGCTAAGATACTTTTGTGGCTGCTCTAAAGATGGTATCCAATTCTTTCTAACGTGTTTCCTTCCTAGATGTGAGGTTTCATTTGTCGGCTAAACGACAAAAAGCTTCCGCTTATTATAATAAACTACGCCTTTTGTAATAAAAATACTTTTAGTTGTTAGTTACGATCAGTAGTTCCTGGGCTACCTAGTTGGAATACCACACTTCTCCCAAGTCTAGGTTTTATAGATCTACGTAATTTCTACTGCTTATAAAGTGCCTGTCAGTTGTCTAATGGATGAAAAGCACGTTACAATTTGTTCTGCACATACTGCCCGCATAGAGCCGAGCCGGGAGCCAAGTGCAAGTGCAGTAGTAATAAATTTCATCGGATAAGTAATATTGTGATACCTTTCTTATGTGAAACAAGAATACCGCAAACCTTGTTAATAAATGGATAGCTCTACAATAGGCAATTCGACTCTAGGTAACATCGTGATCTTTTAACTGTTGTCTCTGGGAGTTGTTGTATAGAGGATGTCAGAAAAATTGAAGGGCAAGTTGATAAACGCAAATCTGTCAAAGGATATATTATCATGTATGTGTACAGGGTGATTCACAAGTCGTGACCAAAAATGAAACATCATACACGGGATTTTAAGGAGGGTCTTCTATGTAACATTTTTTCCTCGAGGGCTCCATTAAAAAGATTCGGGGTGCTGAAGTTTAAAAATAAAAAACAATTTTTTTAATATCTTCTAAATCGTCAACTGGAATGAACTAAAATTTGGTATGTGGATTTACCTAAATATTGTCCACATTCATAAGTCTTAACTTAAATTTAACGTGCACCAGTGGCAAGGGATTAGTGGCATTATTTTTCCAAATAAAAAAGTACGATACTGTTTTTTTTTCGGAACGTGCAATTTTTCAAATCTTACCTTCAATTTGCTACAAATAATTACACTTGTGTTTTCTTCTTAGAGTACACTGTTTTTGTAAAAAAAAAATGAAAAAAATTAGATCATTCATGGAGAGCCAAGATACAATTAGTTTCAAAATGAAATAGGAGGCCTTGATATCAACTTGAACGTTTCTTGGGACGCAGTTTGTCAAAGTTATGTGTTATATGGTTGTTATCGTTATTGCTATCATTTTTTTTTTTTGTAAAAGTTAAGTAAAAAGCTTCTGTTTTCCATTTTGAGTGTTGTGAAATATAATTTAGTAATGATGAATATGCCGATATTATTTTTGTGTAATGGAAATGCTTTAGTGGCTTCTCGGAAGTATCAACGTAGATTTCCTAACAGACGCCAACCTACCCCAAAGGTTTTCCGCGTTCATTTCTGAGACTTCGGCAATATGGCAGTGGAAAACTTCCTGGAGTTAGAGGTCATGGTGTCCGGCATACTGTTCAAAAGTCTTTTTATATCCGGAGGTTTTACATTCTTACCATCGGCAAAATGTGCAATGTATGCAACCCGGCGACGAAGTGCCATGGCGAAATTTTTGTGAGTGGTTACTACAAATGCATAATCAAAATGCAGATTTTATTTATTTGGTTTTGAGGTCAGATGAATCGCTTTTTACGAGGACTGGAACCTTTAATTCTCATAATGAACATATTTGGTCGTTAGAAAATCCCTGTTGCCTAAGAATCTACTCGTTTCAACACAGATTTTCAAATATCTGGTGCGGCATTTTAAATGGCCAACTGTTTATGCACGTATTGCCACAACGTTTAAATGCAAATTCGTACTTACATTTTCTAGAGAATTACATAGAAAATGTGTTAGATAATGTTCCGTTAGCAACGAGAGTACGAATGTGGTATCAGCTCGACGGTGCCCCACCGCATGTTCATCGTGACATAACATAATCATTTTAGACAACGATGGATTGGCAGAAACGGATCCGTACATTGGCCTGCGAGGTCTTCTGATTTGAACCCCCTGGATTTCTTTTTGCGGGGCGCTTTTAAACAACTAGTGTATGCTGAACAAATTAATACTGTTGATCAGTTACAAGAAAGAATAGATAATGCGTTTCGTCAAATTCAAGCCACAAACAATTCTGCGTATATACGTTTTTCATTATCAAAAATGTACCGCACTTGTATCCGTCAGAATGATGGTCTTTTTGAACATTTATGAAATAAAGCCTTGATTATCTAATTTGTTTTTCTTTATATTTACGAAAACAATGCACTCTAGGGAAAAACACAAGAGTAATTATTTGTAGCGAATTGAAGGTAAAATTTGAAAAATTGCGCGTATCGGAAAAAAGCAGTGGCGTACTATTTTTATTTGGAAAAATAATACCACTAATCCCCTGTATCTCCGCTACTGGTGCACGATAATTTTAAGTAGAGCCTTTTGAATCTGGACAATACTTAGGTAAATCCACATACCAAATTTTACTTCATTCCAGTTGACGGTTTTGAAGGTATTAGAAAAAATTGTTTTTTATTTTTAAACTTCAACACCCCGTATCTTTTTAATGAAGCCCTTGAGGAAAAAACGTTACATAGAAGACCACCCTTAAAAGGCGATCCTGTGCGAGGTTTCGTTTTTGGTCACGACTTGTGATATATAACTTTTTTCTGAATGGCATACATCAGTGTTCTTGCAAAAATTGGTATAACGATTTTAAGGCTAAATCGACTCTACCTAAAACAGGATTTTTGGAAGTGTTTGTTAAAACGTTTTCTGAACAGGAATTGTTTGATTAACCAGTACATCAGTGTGTTTACTGCTATTAAAGATGGTGGTTCAGCCGGAACACGACGAAAAACTACAAGAACAATTTTTAAGCAGAATCAATATAGCTATTTATAAGATGACGGACGATCCTTACTATCCAGAGCATAAAGTTTGCGCCCGTTGACATAGCGATAGAAGAAAGCTAGATCGCCGACGACCCGTCGGTGTGAAAGGGTCCCGACTGCTATTCCTGGAAACCTGCCGCTAATCAAGCCGTGATGTTCAGGGTACTCCAGCAGCTCCCGATTTATGCACCTCTTCATCACCTTACTCATAACAAAAGGCAGTGCTATAAATAGGCCTGTAGTTTTAAGGGTCCGTCTTAGATCCTTTTTATGGGGATGGGCTGGGCATGAACAAATTTCCAGTTTTCTGAGAAAGTGCCGAATTTGTAAGATATTAGGAAGAGGCGCGAAGGAACTGGAGCAAGCTTCGCTGTGCACCTCTTCAGCACGATGGCAGGAATCAGAAGCTTTGCTGATGTCGAGCGACAAGAGCACGCATCCTGTAGTCTCATACCTGAATGTTAGTTCCTGCTCACATAGTGTAGGAAGTCAACGCCATTCGGGCATATATTTTGGCATGCGCTTCCGCCTAAGCCTTTGAATCGGTTATAGACGTTCCATCCTGGCACGTACGCGGTGAAGGCTACTCTTTCAGATGATCCCTTCTAACAGCTTGGCGAGTGTCCGGATAGACCGACTACCATTGCGCTGCGACATTGCCTTTTGCCTAATTTTTACATTGTTCTGGTATTGCAAACCGCTTCGTTATATTTATATATTTATTCAAAATCAGCTTGTCTGTTCTCTACAGTGAGGTTTTGTCATGTCGCACGATTTGTTGAACCCGAACCGGCCGTTGGACCCTGGTGGAGAGAAAGTATGAGCACTTTCCAGAATTCCGCAATGCCAAATGTTGTGGCTTCTAATTTATATATTACCTAGTTCAGCTAAAAAAATCCTATTCTTTCATTTGACCCTGACACAAAATTTATAAACTTAACGCAAATTCGACCAGTCAAAATGAAGAAGTTGCATCGCGGATCATACCTGATATAACTTCTAGATTGATATGACAGCAATTATTGAGCATTTTATTGAAAATAACAGTATATACGATAATTTTGAGAAAAAAGGATATATTTTTAACAA